CAGACCTGCCACGCAGTTTCACAGCTTCTTCAAACTTCCTCTCGTCCATGGCCTTCTGCACCTCCTGAGTCTGTTTAAAAAAATACATCATCCAACCAATCACTCTTCATTTCACCCACCCATCCATCTATGGACACAGGTACAGTATGTGGCATCTCCTCCCACAACCTCCCACCAAGGTCAGTTCCTATGCATCATCCATCCATCCGTCCATCCATCCATCTTCTTTAACCACTTCTCCTCTTTAGGGTCACACGGGGTCCAGAACATATTTTGGAGGCTATGGGTTCAAGGCAGTGAACAACCCAGGATGGGCCACCAACCCATCACAGGGCGCACTCACATATGCACAGTTTGGTAACTCCAGTTAATCTCAGCATGCTTTGGGACTGTGGGGAGAAACCAGAGGACCCGGAGGAAACCCCGTGATGACACAGGGAGAACAAGCAAACTCAACGCATATGGAGCCAGGGCAGAGACTCGAACCCTCCTCCCAGAGGTGTGAGGCAACAGTGTGAACCACTGCACCACCCCCCTCCTATGGATTAATTACCATCTAAAAGGTTGTGGTCTGGCTTCTACATCAGAGGACACATGGACGGGATGGTAGGCTGTCAAAGGTCAAAAAGGTTGAGTCAGACACCAATTCACTGGAGCAGTACCTCTTTGGGTTGAAATACGTAACCCATCCCAGCATCAGTAGGACATGCTGACTTTGCTAACTTTAAAACACAAGCTAATTTGAAAACTAAAATTATAAAACCTACACGGGCAACAACAGAAAAAAGATCATTTTTAGTGCCCCATGTTCTAAACAGCCCTGCTTTGTAGCGTAGATTGAAAACAATGTAGGTTATGCCTTTTACATGTCAAATATGCTTCAAATGTCTCTGGACCAAGCTAATAGCCAGAATTAAATTTTGTGTGGGGGGGGGGGGGGGGTCCAACAACCCTCTGTATATTTCATCAATGAGGTTTGGGGTGCAGGTTCTCATCCAGGGTGCTGAACCAAAATTTTGAGGGAGAATAATTTTACTCCCTGGCCACATGCCTGATCGGTAATAAAAGTTATTTTGGGAGATATTTTACTACATGCCAATGCATGCCTGCTCTGGATGCCCTGAACATTACAACTACACGTTCCCAGGCGGAGTATGATGGTCCAAGAGACACAACCGGGTCCAGGAGTGGGAACGCACCATCTGCACGCACTCCATGAGGGGGAGCCGCACTGCCTGGTTACCGCAGAGCGACACGACGCAGGCCTCGGTGCTCGGGGAGGCCCCCAGCAGAGCCAGGACTGCCTCCACACCCATTCGGCTTGCCTGGGGGGGGACAAATACTTCAACCAACAGAACTGGAAAAAGACTTACAGCCTGGATCGGGATCACTGTCCGGTATGACACAGCAGTGACAGAATCTGATCACAGCCTGCATCTACACGCCAAGAGGGGCAGAACGCAGCCGCAATACTGACCACAGGCACACGGGGCAGTGTTAGGATTTACCAGGATCCTGTCGAAGGCTGAGGGCGTGCCGCCTCTCTGCACATGGCCCAGGATGGTCACACGGGTGTCGAACCCCATGCACCGTACGACAAGCTGGGAAAGAAAACGCCAACACGTCAGCAACACTGAGATCAGTCTGACCCTAAACCTGCCACCATTTTAGTGTTAAGAAACATGTATACAGCATGAATGTGCCGTTTTTGTCTCTATTACAAATGTCATAATTAATATTAATTTTTGACAACACAAAAACACTAACTTGGACCCCACTTTCCGCATGGAAATGGGAGAGATCCTTCCCTACAGCCCACACATCTGAGAGCTCATTCTGGGACTCACATCCTTTACATAGTCAGAGGTGATGGTCGTTCCGTGCTTGTCAGTAGCTCCTTCAGCAACTATGATGATGTTCAGCCTTGAGCCTCGAGATCGAGTCTGGACAATGGCAGTGCAGTACTTAGTGTCTATCGTTCCCGCAACATTTATTTTTATATCTGCGTTATATATGGAATTAGCTGGTTAAAGGCCTGATGCAGTACCAGCAGGGAGAACTAGTGGGCGCCACTCACCTCCGACAGCTTCCTGCACATCTTCTCTTCCCAGCCATCATCTGGGGGCATCTCGGGGATCAGCACCCAGTCTGCTCCACATGCCAGAGCACTGACCAACGCCAGGTACCTGCAGGAAACGCTCACAACTTCATCTCTTAATCGCTGTGTTTAATTACAGCTAGATCAGATTAATCAACCCTTCTGGCAAGGTAATAATTAAGCCTACACAAGCCTTCCAGAATAGCTTCAGCTAGAGACATGCACATTTCAGATCTGTCGTGGTGATGGCTACTAACATGCAGAGAAGGGTCTTACCCACAATGCCTGCCCATAACCTCCAGCACAAAGGTCCTTTGATGGCTAAAGAGAATCAACCACAGTATGTTCGGTCATGAACAAATAGATAAAAATGCAGAATTTGATGTCAGCAAAAAGACGTCTTGGGGGACCGGGGCTACCTCTGGGCAGTGGTCATGATCGCATCCACAACCTCAATGATCCGGTGCAGGGCGGAGTCTGTCCCAATGGTCATGTCGGTGCCACAGAAGTCATTGTCGATGGAGCCGACCATCCCCACAATGTGAAGGGCGGAGTATGTGCTAGCAGCCTCTTCTTCGATCTCCCCTGAAAGATGTCGGGGTTAGAGAAACTTTATTTAAACTTTATTAAAACAGAGTTATATCAGATTTGACCAACACAAGCCAAGCCAGGGGAAACACATTTTACAAATTCATCAATGATTTCATCAAATGATTTTTGTGAATCTCTAATTTTGACTATTCAAAAAAGGTTGACTGATCCTGGATATCTCCAATTAAGGTTGAGCCCTATGCTACCTGGGATAGGCTCCACCCCCCCGACTCTAAGCAGGATTGGCAGTTGGAATACGGACGGATAGGTTGATGGATGGATGTCAATGTTTCTGGGATGCACCACTCAGTCCTTGACAGCATTCAGAGTAGCTCATCTCCAGCCCTGTGTTTTTATAGTGACCCACCCACATGGTCTGCCCCCCCCCAATGCTGTACCTTGCTGCACCAGCTCCTCCAGCAGGCCGCTCCACTCTTCCCTGAAGAGGTTGGCCCCGGTGAGGCTGCCGTCGCCACCAATGACGCACAGGTTGGTGATGCCACGCTGCACCAGGTGGAGGGCAGCTTTCAGGCGGCCCTCGCGCGTGCGGAACTCGCTGCAGCGGGCGCTGCCAATGACAGTGCCGCCCTGGTGGCAGACAGTGGACACTGCACTCGCTCAAGCGGAATGCAGCCCTGATGCATCTCAACCTACACTGACAGGGTGGCCGCATTTAACTACAGAAGGTGATACATTCAATTATTGGTCAATCATCAAAAACTCATCTTAAAATCCTAAGAAACGCTGCAATGTAAATACCCACAAGCAGCCACAGTCCTGCTGAGCACTCAGGCAGGAAAGCCCTCCATACCCGCTCACCATCTGCAAAACGCTGGACACGCTCTCCCACTTCGCCTCCTTAATATTCTCACCACCGTCCACCATGCCCTGATAACCCTACAAGGAAGCGGACGGGAACACACTTAATCAAGCTCCGCCTCTGCACCAACCAGGACTTTATTAAACCAATTAAGCGGCATTATTTGGTTCAACATTACGCATGTCCCAGGATAGCGCATCAGCTAACGGTGTCCATTTGTGCAGGACTGACAAACAGCAACAAGTTAAAATGCAAAATTTAAACAAATTTAAATATAAAATAAAAAAACAGAAGCTCTTCTGTAAAATTTACGATATTTACCACTAGATCAGAGCTGATTCTCCCTCAGAAGGCATATAAATTCAGTATATCAGTGTATTATATAACATATATTGGTATATAACTGACTTCATGAATGAAGTAGACTTTAGCTCCAACGTAGATTCCCATTCGGATGACAGCACGGACGGCAGCATTCATCCCTACAGAGGCAAACGATGAACGAAAACAAACATTCTCAATGGTCAACACAAAGCAGGGTCAACAATCAACACCAAGAATGATCAACACAGCACCCCGCAAACCCATCAAACACACATCCCATAAAGGTTCTTCAAAGCTTGGCTGTCAGCTGTTTCCTAGGGAATACCACCCACCAGCAGAGAGAAGAGCAAGAGGGTCCTAAACGAAAGGACTGAGTACTCTTGAGGTAAACATGACCAGCAGCCCGATTACTCCCAACAGTGATCATGATGATCCAGACTGATGCCAGTGAGCTCTACCACAGCCTGGGGGTTCAGGCCGCAGAAGGGTGTGTCAAGCCTGCACAGGTCCAGCTCCACGGAGCTCTCAGAAGGTTATCTGCTAAACCATAGTGGCTTTCAGGTAGGACACAACAGTTTCAGGTGAGCTTTGATACCACCGAAGAGTATACTCATTAAAAGGTCAAAGTAGATTTTACATTGCTCTGTATAAATCTTATTAATTATTGAAGGATACTCTATGCATTTTTGACAATACTTAACACTCACCTCACACCTTCACACATTATGGTTTAACAATTCTCCACGCATGTCACAGGATTTGTTCCCTCCTTTCTCTCAAATATTCTTCATTAATGCGGAACAAGCAGACAATAGAAGCTGTACCAGATTAATTAGTGTGTACTGGATTATGGTCTCTATTCAAGGTGTTATCCTAATTGGCATACTTTAAATAACTAAATTATGCTTTATTATTGTTGCTAGGAAGCAATCAACAAACTCATAATGACATTAAAGCAGCTGTCCCACATTAGAAAAGTAATTTGATAAACACACTGAGATCCCATCAAATGAAATACATTTTTACATACCGACTTGCTTAAGTTAACAGTTAAATAAGGAGAGATTTAGTACAGACGCTCCTCTACTTATGAACTTTTATTTTACGAACTTTCAGACATACGAACAAAGAGGACTGTAAGTCCAAATTGTGTTCATTGGGCTCCCGTTTCCTGTCCGCAACATATTTTTTTCGTTCTGCGCGGCAGTTCCGCCTAGTACGACTTCTGGCCGCTACTCCCGCCACGCAGCAGCGTAGCGTGGGGACTCCCAGCATATCCTAGTTATCTGTACTTGCGTATATCCTTAAAATGATGGTGAATAACGACTTACGAACATTTCAAATTACGAACGGCCGTTCGGAACGTATCTCATTTGCAAGTAGAGGAGCGTCTGTATTACCAATGCCTATTACGCCTTTTGCGGTATTGTGGCACGTAAAGATGTCAGTCATGGCAAGTTCTATGGAAAACCATAAATACTGGGGCAATATTAAAGTCGATCAATTGTAATATTAGCCTATAGTCATGATATGAAAAGGAAAATATGAAAATGTGATCTTTACCACCTTCCACTGTACTTTTCATGGGCAAGGTAAAAATGTTAACCCCCAAGGTACTTTTTCCCCCAGCACCTTTTAGCTCTACCAGGAAGGTCATAAATCACTAGTCCTGCGGAGTCCTGTATGGTATGGCGGCTTCTTCAGGCGCATCCATAGACGTCATCCGGCTAAAAGGGAATTGCTGTTTACCACAGCACCGACGTCACGCACGCGGTAATCATTATATGGATTAGGAGAAATATTCCCCTATTCATAGGTCTCTATTGTTTTACTTAATATAGAGCCTAGATTCCAATTAAACACTTACTGCTTTCTAAATTCAAAACTGCAGTTTATTAATAAACGGTAACTGACGGAAATCCGCCCCCGCAATGCAGTGATGCTGGTTTACTGATGCAAGACTCTGGTATGCATCTGTCTAAAAAGTGAATTTCTCAGTGACAGATAGACGGGCATGTTAATAAGCAACGGGGGACGACGACAGGGCTGCATACGATGATGAAATGATTCGCACAGCAGCTGAAATAATAATACATCGAAATATTAATTCAATTTGCGGCAGCCGCTTATGAAACGGTTTGCTCTGCGACTGTCTGCGATACGGTCGATGTTATTATCTGCGACTCGCTGTATTTAATGTGGATGTTACGGGTCGAGGCCAATGTCACCCAGTGTGGTTACCTTGCGCATCTCCTCCGCTCGTCAGCACGGCGATGGCTTTTCCAGCCCCACAGAGGCTTTCGAAAAACTTCCTATTATCGGGGTGCTTTTCCATCTCTGTGCTCATCCTCCAGCGGGATCTAAGTAGGAGTCAAAGACGGGGATGAAGCGTTAAAGATCGAGCGGGTTCCGGCACGATGTCGCCGCTGCGATGGCTGTCCAGTCCCCCTCCTTTCCCTTCCTTTACTGTTCCCCGGTCCGCCTGGCTTTTCCCATGGCTGCATCAGCAGTTTTTCCAGCTCACCTGATTAAATGACACAGTGCGCATCCAATAGTAGCCTTTATTAAAGCGTCTATATGCGCATCTCTCTGCCCCATTAAACCTTATCTGCGCATCTCCGTCTGCCCTATTAAACCCTACCGCGCATCTCCGTCTGCTTTATTGACCCCGTCCGCGTATCTCTGTCTGCCCTATTAAATCTGCGCATCACTTTCTGCGCTATATTAAACCCTATCCGCGCATCTCTATCTTCCATATTTAACGCTAACTGCGCATCTCTATCTGCTTTATTAACCCCCATCCATGCATCTCTGTCTGCTTTATTGACCCCTACCCACGTATCTCTATCTGCTTTATTAACCCCCATCTGCGCATCTGTGTCTAACCTTTAACTATTTATTATTTTCAGATTATTAGTATTGCTTTTGCACTTAGTTTCGATGATACTAATAATGATATAAAGAAAAGCTTTCGCTGGGATCCTAACTAGTCCAACTGTTCAGAACATTTCTTTAAAGTAATAGCTGATTGAATATGGGGTTGTGTCCCCATAAAAAGTCCCCATAACAGAGAATTTCGGATTCTCGTACATCAGTGTATATATCACCTCATCAAATGCAATGTCATCTTGCTTGTGCTTTAGCTGATCGCATTTTGACATACTTCACGACTATCAGTGCTGTAAGGCTGAGATCAAATGCATATCATTCGTTATTGCATATATTTCAAATTTCTAATTACCAAGGAAGCATAATGAAATTACCGATTTTGCAGCATTGTCTCTGTTAAGTTGTATGATTGATATATTAAGTTGAAAAAGTCAGCAAAACTTTAGCTTATTTCATAAATAAGGGTTATATAAACACTGGAACTAAAACCGAGAACGTGTACTTATTTTTGAAGTATATATGTACTTAAAAATACTCATTAGTATTTTTGCTCTACAAGTATGCAGCCTTGTTTTTCAGTATTGTTTTGTATTCCATTTAAATTTTAATATATATTTTATATATAAATTATTGTTTTTAAAATGTTAAATACCTTTTGCAATATTTTGAACAATATTAACCTGCACTGTATAAACGAAATACCCGTAATAAGACGTCACTGACACGGCCTATTAGTTTGTCTCTGGTGACATCTAGTGGTAAATTTAAAATAAAACGGTGGAATGTTGTCCCAAAGGTACAAAGGTTAGTCCCCAAATAATAATGAAATACAAATGCTCCTCGACTTACATTGGGGTGACGAACACATCATAAGTAGACAATATATGATTATGATATAATAAATAAATAACTACAGTCACTTAATAAGTAACTAAATACCAGTAATTGGAAAGTAAATAACTACGAGTTCATTAAAATACCGAAATACGTTGCGTAACACTATATGAGATGCTTACGCAGGCGATCGGTACAGAGACCCAAGCGTAGCTGCATATACAATATGTATGCTGTCATCGCCCGGCATCAAAAAGTATCGTACGGCATATCGCTACCCAACGAACAGATCAAAATTCAAAGTCGCACTATCGTCGAAATATATTAAGTCAAAACATAGGCTAGTAAAGTGTGGAACATCTGTACAAACTTCGGGAGACGCACAGTCTTAAGATTCATTTACTTATGAAGCAGACACAATCCAATAGTTCCAAAATAGTTTATTAGCAGTGATAAGATATATAAAAAAGTACAAAAGATGCATAACGCGTATCAAATGTTATATACACAAATAATGAAAAAGTAATTACGATAATTTAAAGCACCGTTTGCTCATATACAGTGTAAAGACTACATAATATTCCTTCCGAAAGGGTTCATCGCTTCCTCACTGTGCGATTCTGCATCCTCTGCAGGATCTCTCGTGTATTCGCAGTTACAATTTCCAAAGCACACTGACGGTGGGACTGGGTGAAGGAGAAGATGGACATACATAAGAGTCACGTCATGAAGCCAAAAACAACAGGTAAAATCACCATAAGCGTGTTTTACGCGGTGTTGTGAGAAGCACACTCTATATAACTAATTATCCTGTCATATATTTCAGCAATTGTAATTTTGGCCACTGTAGTTTAGCTCATTAGCGGTACTCACCTTTTTGATTTCAAGAAAAGTCTCTAGTTTTTCAAAGCATTCTGTCACCGGCTCCAAGTTTCCTTCCAGGAATTCACTTGCCTGTAGGGTCACAAAAAACACAAACACACACATCACACACATATAGTGAAGAACTTATATTGTTAGTTTACGTAACGCCAATTTATTTTCCTTACTTTATTTAGGAAATTTAGGTTAATTAATTCTACTTTCTTAAATTAATATGTACAATAACAACACTCAGCATTTAACTGTATTGGCCTAGCTATAGTGATTGCACAAATGGCAAAACAGTGTTTTTGTTTTGATTAATAAAATGCCGCACTCTTACACATTCGAGATTTCTGAGCGTGTGAAGCAGTCTTTCCACGAATTTGCTGGAGTTGTGGTGTTTCTTGTAAATGTTTAGAATTCGCTGTATGACGCTGTCCACCGCTCTGGCGTTGAGTTGCAGCTGTTTTAAAACGCAGAAGTTAGGTTTGTGTCTCGTTCAATTTCTGAAGATAGCCGTTACACCTATTACGTTGTCATTGCTGTTCACTTTAGTTGTCGATATTATTATTATTATTATTATTTACAACGTCATTAACACATATTGTTAGGTTGATAACAAACAGAAGAAACGTAACGCACCATATTCAGCATTTTCTGAGCGTCACAGAGGCTTGTCTTATCGTCATGGGAGCCACAGTCGATGGAGATGCTGCGACTCTGTTGAATAAGAGCCAGAACAGCCACATCACACATCCAAATGATGCACCAAACAGAGACACAGACACAATCTGCGGCTGTTGCACTTGGGTGTAGGGTGCAGGTGTGTTTACCAGGATGTTCAGGTCCTCTAGCAGGTCTCCCCATCTAACGTTCTGACTGCAGTCCCTTTGACCCTGGACAAGGCCGACGAGAAGGCAGAAGATGAGAGCTTGGGTACAGCGCATTGTGCCTGAAATGAGGCGAAAATGTATCAGGTTAAAATAATCTTACATGGAATTTGAAAAGCTGAAAATTATACAATAATAATAATAATAATGACACCATCATCACCTAGGTAATAAGAATGCATAACTCTCCCCTTCATAGGACACTGTGTCAAAGATATCAAAGCACCAATCTTGCTTTACCTCTGATGTTCTGCTCTTTTGACTTGTAGGTCTTCTTGATTCGTGATGTACTGCCATAGTCCTCCCCAGGTGCTTTTATATCAGTCTGTCCACATTTCTCTGCATCATTCCTCTGCAGCTTACGCAGAGTGAAACCACTGCTCCATCAAGGAAAGGACACCTATGGAATGTTTCACCTGGATGCACGGTGTGGAGGCGGGAAGGTGGAGGCGGGGAGGTGGAGGCACCTGTTACACGCAGACACACATGTGAGATTTACAGCTTATCCGCTGAGAGTAAAGGGGTATATTGTCAGCTATAATGTGCTAAATTCACCGTAAAATACTCCCAAATACTCAGCTCCCAAAATACTGCTAGCATGTGATGATATTAAACAAAGGAATTGTTCGTTCATTTGAGATCTGACGTTACTAGCTATAGTAAGTCTTTCATAACTACATAATATTTAGTTTCAGTGATATCTGCACAGATGTCTTGCAGACAGATAAAACTTCATAAACATGACGAATAGGTTGCCATATTTATTTGGTTATTTTTCAGTGTGTTAAAATAATGTCAGAACATTGATAATATTGATTATCCCACCAAGGAAAAATAGAATAAACCATGAGCTGGGAATAAAGTTGCTTTATATTTTAATAAAGTCTTTTATTCCTATATTTGCTCTTTAAGGAGCATCCAGGCCCAGTGGTGGGTTGCTAAAAAAAACCTGCTAATTTATGAAATATATCAAGACCCAGGGATGTGTCCAAACTGACTGTGCATGTAGTGCTGGTGCTGACATCCTGCTCCTGACATCATCATCAGGTAACTCCGTCATTTCAACTTCAACTGCAGGTGATGAGGAAATCAAAACAGCAACACTGGCAGGGGAAATGAAAGTGAAACCACGTCCTGCTCGGGTTTTGAACGCATGCCAGTGCTTTCAGGTTATTAGAGCTGTTCACTTTCCTGCAGTAAACCCTCCTACTTTCACACCCGGGGTGAGATCCAAGAACAAAACTCTTGCATAACAACATACTGTAAGGGGTCACACTTGCCATACAGAGTCACTGCCAGGAAAGCCAGGACATAAAGTTAGAAAAAAACTTCTTTTAACACAACATTATTATTATTATTAATATTAATATTATTGTTGTTGTTGTTAATATTAATAATAATAATAAGAAGAAGAAGAGCTAGTGTTGTGTACCGCCTTTCATCATTTTTACTTGTGTTTCCGTAAGACAGTGGTTACTAAACTTTTTCTGCCATGCCCCAATACAGACACAGATACAGGTTAAGCATCTATACCTTTGTGGGGACTCTCCATGCATTTCTGTGGGCATAACCCAAATCCCAACTTTCACAACCATAGCCATCACTAACCAAACAAAATATACGAAAATAAAAGAATATGTGTTTGGCATTTTACATTTTTTGACTGCAGACACAGATTTTTATAAAAATTAGTTTACCCTTGTGGGGACTGAAAACGTGGTTCCCACAATGTCAATGTCAGGTTTTTATCACATTGTGGGGATCTTTGGTCCTAACACGCAGAGATTGGTCTCCGTCTATCCTCTCTACAGATTCCCGAAGGAAATATCTGCAAGACTGTTATTATGGCATGGAATTAAGTTGCCAGACTTTAAAATTTTGGACTTTAATGACAGATTCAAGTGTTGTAATGGCTGTAATATGAAATAGTGCACTAATACAAAAATTATATTAACTTTATCTGAATTTTAGAAAAACTTTATGTATCATTAAATAAAATATATACAAAAACACAAACTTTAGTGTCAAACAAATTAGTTGTGTAAGATGCACCTTCAATCATATTAAAAAATAAGCACCAGCTCATAGAACTTGAAGAAAGAAAACTGAAGTGTCCTCTCAAAAATATAAACAAGAATCAGACCAGGAAAAACTAACTGGGCTTATTTCTACAGCTTTTCAGCCTCGTTAAAAGAAAAAGTAACTATTTGTTTGTATTGATTTGAGAAAAGCAATTTGCTGTTTGTGGTCTTGTTTTCTTTAGCATCAAATGTAAAACTTATCCAAATGTCGGTACATTTTTCCTAGATTAAGTCAACTGTGGCACAAACATAACGGTAAAAGTGTTTACTGACAGACCACAGACGAAATCTCATGCTTTCTACTTGTTACATTGCTGCATGACGTACACATTACAAGCTGGTGGAATTGACATTATCCAATCATGCGCTGTTACAATCAACAGTATCAAAAGATACTACTTTGGATTGGATCAGATTCAGCTTCCTGAAATTTTTGGCTCGTTTTTATTTGGTGACGAAAGTGTCAGTGCGTTTCATCATAGTTGCTGGTGTTATGTCTTGTATTCATTTGCATCTTATTATTGTCTTTGTTAATTAATAATTCTCATTATAATCAATGAAAATCGTACTGATTCAGCCATTGGGGTGCCCCCACCCCCCCACGGCAAATTCACACACTCCTAACATGCCCCCCCAGTTTGGGAACCTCTGGTATAAGAATATACGAGTCACTTTCAGCAGTGAGTCTGCTGTATGACGACAGACTGGAATTCACGGGTTTAACATTAGTGTTCTTTAACTAATACATGTTTCCATGCCCTTAGTTTTGCTGTGAGGTATAAGTTTCGCTTTTTATCCTTTGCAGTCTTCCCGGATGGATGGAAGGAATGTATGCTGCATTGCATCACAGCCTGTTTCAACATGCACAGCAGAGATGATTGATAGTGGTGTGCTTTCCTGGGAAGGATTCCTCCGTAATTATGTAATTGTGAGAGGGAGCTGCTAATCAGCATGCAGAATGGCTGTTTTTATGAAATGCCAGTGTTATTTCCAACACAAAAGCTGTATCTCCACAAAACCCTAAAGAAACTGCAAGTTAAAGGCCCAGCTCAGGGGTATAATGGTGAAACCACTATTTGGACCGGGGATTCAAACTAATGACCTTCAGATCACAGGCACAGCAGCTTAACCCACTGAGCCAAATATCGTCATCCCTGTCATCGCTTCATTCTGGCACCTTCTTCAATTGACTCTGCGCACATAATTGCCTCAGCTGCCTCAGTAATTAAGTACACCAAAATTAAATTAAATGATGCTTCATTTTCCATTTCTACAAATTCCAGAACAGGTACAGTGAAATTCTATATTTTTCTCATATCTTATCTTTCACTCCATTAAAATGCACACATATAGAGGTGAGGGCACAGCTTGGGGTCTGAGCACAGGGTGAGTCAGCAGCCCTGGGGCAATTTTCAGTGCGCCTTGCTCCAGGGCCCAGTGGAGATGAGGGCACTCTACCCAGCACAGCACTGGAACCAGCGATGTTCTGATCATACACACGGAGGTCTAACCCACTGAGCCACACACAAAAGAAACACTTTGCTCAAAAATGCCTGCAGCAGACACAGAAAACACAGAAATCAGCACCTGGAACCTGATTCTCCACCGTCCGTTCTATTCACGTGCACATGGTCGTACTGAATCAGAACGTAGAATGTGAGTCTGAATTGTGTATCATTATGAGAAAAGCCAGCGAGTTCAGTGCCCAGGGAGGGGTCCGGCTGCAGGGTCCTGCTCTGCAAAGATGCAGTCACAGCAAAGTAGGAAGAAACCATAACAACTCATAGGTAGTGTTTCACGACTCTGACTTCACCTGAGTTCATCCCTTGGCTAATTTCCTCACACAAAAAATATCTGGCATGTCGAATTTCGGGTTTAGCGCAGGTGACGTGTGACCTGGTCGCCCTTCATTTGCTGAAAGCTTCTTCCCCACTGGAAGTCGGTTTAGAAAAAGAAAAGTGCTAAACACGAAACTTTAGTCTGCAGGCAGGGTTTCGGCAGAAACACCCACGATGGTTCATAATGGAAACCTAAGGAAAAAATAATGCGCCCAGAAAACATAAAGACGGTAAATCCCAAACGTGATTTCGCAATGAGATTCAGAAAACTGTCACTGGGCGCCACAGAAGCACCAGTCATGCCGATTTTAAAATGAGATATAAAATTATCAATCAAAATAACATAATTATATTTCTATGCTTTAAAGAAGCTCTTATCAAGTGCCTTGGGTGAAAATCAAATTGAATAGAATATATAATAAGAAATTAAGTGTGTTTGAACCAATGTTTTTTCGTCATCATCTAGAACAGAATAGAAAAGAATAGCATAGAATACCTTTATTGTAATTGTACATTTAAATTCTGCATGCTATCGCCACCATGGCTATACAATGTAAAAAAAAAATAAAAAAATAAAAAACATCGCTGATGTTTTCGTTTTATCTATGATTTTAGCTGGTGGGTCAGAAACTCAATACGTTTAAATGATGATGCTAAATGCCGATTAAACTGTTGGGTAGCTGATCTCCTCAGCTGCCGCGGTAACTGCTTACTTTAAGCACACACCCCCATCCCAGGCAGGTGGAGGCCTTTCCCTGGTGCTCCATCCATCCAGCATGAATGGCAAGTTGGCCGGACAGCCAGCAGTCTCCCAGGAAACGCTGTCTTCCCAGGAAATTGGCCTGGAGATGGGTTGTAATAAACACGGCCCCTTCCTAAATTATCACAGGGTATGTGCTCCTAGCCCATGGGAAATCACCCGTGGCAGTTGGGTTTGTGATTCATTATTAGCGGAGGTTAACGGACAGGTTTAATGTACAGTCAGTCCAGGCACAGGGGTCTCCCTCTGCCACAGTCGCTTTTAGAATGGACCTGGTTCTTCTCAGCAGTCCTCATTAACTCATATCATTTTCATTTAAAGGGTGTGTTTAATGCTGCTAAACCATGAAGCATGCAGTCAGAATGAAACCTCTTATTCTGTCCAGGGTCACAGGCTAATTTATCCACTCCCAGTACTTAAGTTATTCTGATTTCAAAACCTTGTTTACCCAATTTTTATTATTAACTATTACAACTATTGTTGCTGTTGTTGTTGTTGTTGAGGCTTGTTCATTGAAAAACTGGCCCTGCTTAGTCAATAATAACATATGTGACAATTAAGCGACAACAAAGGTAATTGAAAGACATCTATGCGGTATTCAGAATGAGGGCAC